GATGGGACTTCTGATATTCTAATGTTCAAATTTGTAAATGCAAAGGATTAGAATATCAAAGAGAAAACAATTACTTTTTATCTAAAACGGTGCATGAAGAGTTTAAACTTTTTTTTTGAAGTGCAGATTTTGGACCATATGTTTGTGAGCTACAGGCTTTATAACAGTAATTCTGAACATAAAAGTGTGGGGTTTCAGGGGTGTCATGTACTGATAACTGACAACTTTTAAAATGGCTGCTGCGCCCGGGGTAACGGATCATTACAAGCTTTTTAGCACATGACAGAACATATTCATCACATAATGAATTTTATTGTGATTTGCTCTGTCATTGGCTTTTTGTGTAAAATCAGTGGTAAAGTTAGCAGGGCAGGCAACACAGTGAAAACTAATAATAATACAAGACACTCCCAGAGAGCCATGGTGATGCAAGCTCATTTTCTGTGCGCTTGTAGCAGCTTCCAGCCTCTTGCTGTTCACTTTTTCCTCACCACTGTGTGATAGTTGTTAATAAACCTGAAATGTTACAACAGAAAAAAAGACTTCCTAACTCTGCTGAGCATCTTTCAGGTGGTTTGATGAGCCTGCAAGGTCATCAGTGGCTACTGCAGCTGCCCCGCATACACTCTCATTTTAAATTTAAAATTCAGAAAGCCCAGGATAAAGTTTGTTAAAATCACTACAATCAAAGTAAATTTCATTTACCACATATACTATATGACCAAAATGTATGTGGACACGTGACCATCACACCTATATAAGCTTGTTGGATAACCCTTTGAAAAACCACAAGGATTAGTATATAATTCCCCTCCCCTGCCATTTGTGGCTATAACAGCCTCCACTGTTCTGCAAAGGCTTTCCACAAGATTTTGGTGTGTGACTGTGAGAATTTGTGCCCATTTAGTCAACAGAGCATTTGTGAGGTCAGGCACTGATGATAGATGTGAAGGCCTGGCTCACAGATGACGTCTGATTGCGTGGTCTACTGCTTTATGGCTGAGCTGTTGTTGTCTAGACCGGGGCATATCTATCAGGGTAGAAATTTTATAAACTGACTTGAGGCCATCCTATGACAGTGTGTTTAAAGTCATTGAGCTCTTCAGTACAACCCATTCTACTGTCACTGTTTATCTATGGAGATTGCTTGGATGTTTGCTTGATTTTATACACCTGTTAGCAATTAGTGTGGCTGATACACCTGCACACAATACTTAGAAGGATTGTCCACATACTTTTGGCCATACAGTGTATATTAGAAATTAATATTTTATCTGAGTTTTGTTCTATAAATTTTAGAGATAATCACTGAATATGAAAATGTTGAATCAAACAGAGATTCTGATTTTTCATGACTTTGTAACAACCTTAATTGCTAGATTCAATATCACTTCAGTATATCACTGAAGAACGTGTAGCTAAAGAGTTTCTGGTCTCTCTGTAGCTGTTTATCAACTTGAGCTGAGTATTTTATAACAAGCATTGCTTTATAAAAACAAGCATTGCTATAATTTTGTTGCTTAACAACCAAAACTCATCTTAAATGCAGGGTAAAGCATTTTCTTCTGTTTAAGATTATTTGCTTCATGTACAGCCGGTTTATTGACCTGAGTGCAGTAACTCTCCCTAGTTATTCAAAAACAAGATGGATGTCTTCTCTCTGGTCCAGTACAAACACAACTATAAATTCAGCATACACAGACAATGAGTTAGCTGGAAATGCTATATATTTATTTCCTGTAATATGTAACTAATTTTCCATGTTCACTGCAAACCACATGTTTAAGGTTAAGTAACCCACCCGTTCTTCACAAGCACCATTACAGTCATGTATCCTCAGTGCTCACCAAACAGCTTCTGAGGCTGTAGATCTTCTGCACAAGTTTTATCTACAGAGTTTACAGATTAGTTTCATAATTGTTACAAAGAAGAACCTTAAGATGTTGCTGCACAGTACTGATAGTTTATAGTATCACAATATTTTCCAAATTCATCACTGTATTACTGTACAAAATGATTTTTAAGCTTGTGCTAATAAATTTAATGAAATTGTGTTTCTGAGTACTGCTACATTATGCTAAAAGAACATCTTACAAACCTGATATAGCTTGTTTGGACTGTTTTGTTCTTTCATCTCTTAAAATGACAGCGATTGAACTGTACCGAATTAACTTTATACAGTATTGAAAATGTAACAAATAGCATAGATTGCAGTTTATAAGGGTCTTTATTAACCTACCTATAATGATAAAACTAACAAAAATCAACACTGACAAATCAAATTTACACATTTTCCAAATAATCCTAAATTTAGTCAAGTTTGCCTCTTTGGTTTTGGAGCAGAGCTATGAGGCTAATTTAACAGATGTCTAATAAGATTTTTGATGACATTGCCTTCCATTATTTATAAGCTACATTAGCCACGTAGCTCCAGTACATACATAAAGAGTCAAACTATAGACACCAAACATGTTTGGTTCAATCGATGTTTGGAATAAAGGGAAAAACTGTGTAAATATGATATTTTAGTGAACTATGCCTTTAAGTGTGCTGATGTATATGATTTATTTTCTGGCAGTACATTAAGGTTAATATCTGAATAATAAGCCTGCGCTTTAAAGGGTTAATTATGGCTTTGGTTTAAAGCTAGACAAATGCTGATCTGCGTCAACCTACTGAGACACATCCTGACTGCAAGTTTGCCTTGTGTTGTATTTCCAGAGGTGGAAAAAGCTCACACAGACTGTATAAAAATGAAAGTATAGGTTCATAATATTACTTGGTTAAATGTAGAAGTGCTGATCCAAATATACTTTAGTAACAGTAGAAATGTATTTACAATTAAATTTATTTAAGCCAATTCAAGTGAAAAGTAAATGTTTTAAGAGGACATGCTTTCTTTTTTGCCAAGACAAGTTGGCATAGTTATTGGTTTAATGTTTGACTGGATGTTTTCCACATTTCATGGAAACCTGACTGATTGGCAAGAGAAAAGCTTTAGAATTTATTCATTAGGTTTTTTTTGTTTTGTTTTGTTCTCCCTTGGAAATATAATTTGGAAAAATATTCCACTTAAACAATATTCAAGCAAAATATAAATCTTTCAAAATAGTATTTAAGTATTGTAACAATGTACAATTACTTGAGTGTTTTTCACTCCTGTGTGTTTCAATATCACTCTAATGGTGACAGACATGATGTACAGTAGTGGATCCTAACATAGGCAGTTGTCTAGGGCAGCAGTTTGGCAGGAGCAAAACCAGCATTCCTGAAATTGCACAGTGTTTCTGCATTCCTGCCAGTTACTCATTACACAATGCTGTTTATTGGTTATCACCCCCATTCATCAACAGTGTGTTCTTACAATACACAGTGCGAGCACAAGTCATCGTTAAACATCCTGTCTCATAGTCCACTCTAGCAGTTTGTGGTGTTATTAACATAACGTAATTTTGAAATTATCAAAAGAGTGCAAACACTCATTAAGACCACATGTGTGCAGATATGTGTGGGACAGTTACTGCTGTATGCAAAAAGTTGAATATTTCACATTTGGGCAGAAAAAAATATGTTCTGCATATGTGAGGTTTCTCCATTCCAGAAATGTACCCAAAAGGAGTTGTGGGGAATCTTCAGGCTGCTAAACATAAGAAAGTGAGTTGGTTACAAAGCCTACAGCTTTGTCTGCAACAACAATAGCCTAGAATTCAGGAAAAGCACAAAAGATTATGTTTTTACATTTCTAAGTACAACTTATCTGCACCATCACAGCTCTAGGTCATTATCTGGGAGACGCACAGTAGAGACAGTGTAAAGCGAGAAATGGGAATTTACGGAGAGGACATTTGGAGGACGGATGGTCATACGGGGGCACCAAATATTTTTCATTATTAATAATTTGGCCAAGGGTGCCAAAAAGGTAGGGCCCACTACTGATAATATGATACCTGCAACAAGAAATATAGAGGCCACAAAGGCAGAGTGACCATGAGTTTGCTATTGGAAATTTAACAGCATGGGCTAATAAAAGATAAAAAAAGTAAAAATAAGATAATCATAAAAGGAAAAAAGCAGGAGGGCCAGTGAGAAACGATCATGGCTTAGTACAGCTTAGGTTATTGAGTGTTGTGAAAATGCTTTACTTTCAAGTTTATGCTGAAAAAACTGCAGTGTTGCTGCTTTAATCAGTACTCTCTCACTGATGTTTCTCAGCAAATATGTGACTGAGTGAAATTAAGTCAGTTGTATTTTTTCATTGACTTTACTTGATAAGTGTTTGGTCAGTGAAAAAGTGTTGAATAAAACTTGTGTCTTTCTCATTGGCTTCACCATCTCTTTGCATATTGTGCGTCATTCCCCTTGTTTTGTTTACTCTCTCCATTTTGTGTTTACCCCTGGTCTAGCGTCCCTTATGTATATGTAACACCTTTTGTTCTTTTGTTCCCCACTGACTGTACGAGAGAGTTACTGTGTGTCCAGCTGCTGATAGTGCTTCTAAACTGGCTTGAGACTAACAACAAAATTATATAGCTGTAATTTAAATCCATTCACTTGCATTGCTTTTTTTACTTTATTTAAACATCACTACTTTAAGTTAAATAAACCTATGAATCATGCATATAAATAAAGGCAATCCATTTAATTTGCATTTACTCCATTGAGATCATTGAGTTCATTCTAACAAGCTACTTAGCTGTTATGTGGAAATACTTGATGTGTCTTCTAAGTACATTCAGTGTAATTAAAGTACATTAAACCTTTATGAGTATGAATTAATGTGTTTATTTATTTGTTTATTTGGTTGGTTGTTTGTAGTCATGGTTTTGCCATGAAATGCTTTTCTAATTGGTCAGTTTTGACTGATTCTAACTGGTCACTTAGACACGTTTGTTAATCATTTATCAGGTCCAGCCCACATTTCTCCTGATGCTATGACATCACAGGATCAGTTTTATGGTTGTGGTTTGAATATTTCCAACTCATTCAACAACTAGAGCTCCATCAGGTAAGACTGCATGTTTGAACCTTTATCTTTATGTACATCTCTATTCAACTGATCAGTTATAATAATAATAATAATAATAATAATAATAATCATCATCATCATCATCATCATCTTTTTTATTTATATAGTTGACATCTTGATAAACTGATTAGTTGAATACAGTTGATTTCTTCATCTGGACTGGGGCCATTTTGTTCCTCTTCAGCTGATGCTGTATTTTAAACATACGGGGCAACAAGCACTGGTGGGAGTGTTTGATGTTACCATGGTAACCATTCCTGTCTCCCTCCTCTTTTTCTCAGGTAAATGTCTACTAATGATTAATAAGCTTTATGAACTTATTTGCTCTAAACATCATAAATGTCTACTCATTATCATTAAACTTTATTAACCTGAAGAAACAAGAGAAGCTTTTACAGCTTGGCAAGTTTACTACAAAGATTCTGAGCCATGAAACAACAATTATACAGTTCTGGTGTAGCTGCTCCTCCTCTAGTTAATGCCATTAATAAATTATAGCCACTGGTTCATGTTCAGGTGAAACCCACATGCAGGTGTGATGAGTTTACGAATTTATAGGCATGTAAAGTAATTATGTTGTGGTGTTGACCAGAAAGTACTGTTGAACCATTGTAATTGTTCTTTATTGGCAAAGACATGCTTACAGCACAGAGCTGAATTCTTGGTAGTTAGCCACAGAAATGAGAAAGCTAGTGGATGCTAAACACAAAGGCTAACATTCCAAGACAAATTCCACACTAAACTGTAATCACTTCACTGTTTTCATGGTGCAACGTTAACTAATGGAAAACAGGCAGACAGGTGTGTCAGTATGCAAATAAGCAGTGCACACACACAGGCACTGTGATGCCACAATATAAATATCATTAAAATTTGACAAGGGAATGTTGTAAAAGCAGCCTGGGGTGGACCTAACCACAACTTGTATCAGTACGAATGACGAGTGATAGCAATAGTCGTGTGTTATTTATTTCTGTGAACAGCAGACAGAGCTCAGATCCAACACTATATTTTGACAGGTTTTTTCTACTTTAATATTACATTTGAAGAAAGTAGCTAGTCTATGATGTAAGAGTCAATGCCGGCATCAAAATGGTACATACATAGAACTTCACTTTTGTCTGTATTAAATTTATAGAAGTTTTCATTCATCTAGAGCTTAAGATCAGAAATGCATGCTGTCTGCACTAGGGGAATGATGATGGACTTACTGTTGGAACTGGTTGGATTGGTGCTTAGAAATAAGGGCAATGCCAGTAACACCAATAGATTTACAGACTGGAAAGACGCAGGAGAAGAATATTTATCTAGCATCTAGCATCTGTAGAATGCAGGTTACTGATGATATTCAGTAGTGCAGTTTCAGTACAGTGTTTTGTGTAAATGCTATGTTAAATAGCCTCAGAGATTATTTTCAGTTAGAAAATCTTTAAGTTGCGTGGCTACCAATTTTTCATCACTTTGTCAAAGAAATGGAGGTTGAATATTATCTAGAGAGATCAGAGGGAACAAAACCAGAAGAAAAGCACCTAGAGTAAAGAAAGCAGGCCTTGAGAAAGGAGGTAGAAGTAGGGTTTTCTCAGTTGGTTGAACACTTTAGTCCATTCAGAAGCCATATGCTCAAAACATTTAACACTTGGCACTGAACAGAGGCTTGCAGGCCAAAATATCATACTTTCTTTGCAAAATGGTCAGAACTCAAATCTTTAAACATGTGCCACAAAAGCAAACTTCCATTACACACTATAACTTAATTACTGTTATATTATAGTCTTAGTCTGACTTTGCATTGTAAATTTCGGAAGCAAATGATGGTGAGGTTATTCTCTGTCCCTCCTCCCACAAACTTATTCAGACTCACCATCTTAAACGGAATATAACAACCAACCAACATGTATTTTTATTTTTTCATTACTAAATAAAAACATTCTAATCTGGTCAGTTTAGCCATCATGAAAAGGATCAGTTACATCCACACCTAGCAACGAACAGATTTTGTATGAACATGTAAAACAGGGGTCTCAAATTCAAATAACTTGGGGACCACTAGCCAGGTGGTCTTCCCAGAAGGGCTGGTGCAAAAATGTAGGGAAAAGGTTTTCTTTGTGTTTTTTTTCTAAGTATGAATTTAAACTACACATATGCACTCAGTTGATCGCATCTTAGTTGATACTGAGTAAGTCTTCTGTCACCATAAACCACAACTACATACAATTATATTGTGAAAAATACTGAATTAAACACATCTACACCTGTTATTTCTGTTCTGCTACATTAACTACAGAACGTTTTTCTAGTTTTTTCTCCTGCAGATCAGAGTCGTCTCAGAACTTTCCACATCATTGAGAAGAGTATGACTCAGTCTGAGGCTCAAGCAGCTTGCAGAACAAAGTACACTGACCTGGTCACTGTGTACAGTGCTGAAGACAACACTGAACTGACTGATCTGATTAATCTGATTAATGACCCTGGTGTAACTGCTTGGATTGGTCTGAACCGCAATCAGTCCATCAGTGATAAATGGTCAAATGGAGATGATGTTACATTCAGTAATCTGACAGGGGTCTGTGGGTCAGGGTCCTGCTGTGCTGCTATGAAGGCTGATGGTTCATGGGAAAATCTTCAGTGCACAGAGAAAAAAAATTTCATGTGTTATAAACAAGGTAATTACTGACTATTAACTATATAGTTTTAAACTAAAGGAAGGAAAGTCATCAGATCAGTTAACAGTGAATTAGATGTAAATCTCATTACAGGTTGTACAACATAATGTGTTTCAGTTATATTTGACTGATTAAATGATAGTAAACACAGAAATACAGGTTTTAGGAGTGTACAAATCTGTCATGTGAATCAACATCATTATATCACTTCCCTAAGCCATTTATTTATTTATTTGATATTTATTTAGTTATGAAAAATATTGCTAGACTTAATTCACTAGTTTATTTATGAGGCACAAGGGATAGTTCTTTTGAAAGAATTTGAAAGCTGAGTATTATGGGGCTAAAATAGACCTCTGATGTTGTTTCTTTGTAGTCAACATTATTCCTAAATAAAGAACCCAGTTGTTCTTTCTTTTGTACAATTTCCCCCAAAATATCAGGGGATGCTCTAAATTACAAAGTCGTTAAGAAGTTGTTTCCTCTCCACAGACCTCACCCTCAATTATCATTTAATCTTTGACTCTATGAGCTGGTATGAAGCTCAGAGTTACTGCAGGAAGAACTACACTGATCTGGTCAGCATCACAGATCAGAACCAGAATGAAGCAGTGAAGATAGAAGGGCTGAAGAGCAGCACATCCTTCTGGATCGGCCTGCTGCGTGATGACTGGGAGTGGACTGATGGAGGACGCTCTGCCTACAGAAACTGGGAGACTAACCAGCCTTGGTCATCAGTAGACTGTGTCCGATTGAAAGACGGGAAATGGGAATCAAAGCCATGCAGTTCCGTTTATTCTGCTCTGTGCTACAGCGGTAAGGCAATAATTCATAAACATATTAATTCTCTCAGCTGTGTTTATAATGATTAAAAGCAGTAATTAAAGAGTTAGACAATGTAGTTTTTGAATAGTCACTATTATCTACTATGTCTCTGGCAGTTCTCTTAATATCATCACATTTATATATATATATATATATATATATATATATATATATATATATATTATTGGGCTAACAGAATCAGTTGAAATTAGTCTATAACGTGATAAAAACAAGTACTAGACAGCAAAAATAAAAAATCTCCATCTGGTGGATCAGAAGTGAGAAAGGGTCAGTATACAGATTCAAAATCAAAGAGATCAAAAGTCCTTTTGTTATTCTATATGGAGCTGCACTTCATGACTTTAGGATTAAATATTTCAATTACTTATTAAGCTTCATTTTCTTTTCTTTCAAAACTAACAAACCATATGATAAATACTTGTGATAAAATACACTATGAACTTAAATAAACCTAAATGTGTCCTTTAAAATTCTCTCATTAGTCAACTAAAAATATGTTATAAAACAAAGACAAACAAGACCAGAAAATACAGTCAAATATATATTCAAAAGTATTACGCAATATCATCATACAGTGCTGTTCAGACTTCTGTGCGGTGACAAATACTTTAATTCTCTCAGCATGATTAAAACATACTTAAAGTAAAGCTAAACCTTGGCTCTCGCTCTAAAATATCATTTTCTGTGTCTGTTTTCTGTCAGCACTCATCCATGTCAGTGATGATCATATGAGCTGGGAGAGCGCTCTGGATTACTGTAAGAAAGATAACAGGAATGATATTCTGCGCATTGAGTCTGACCTGGACAAGAAAGAGGTGGAGTTTGAGCTCAGGAGGAGGCGTGTCTCTGGGCCTCTGTGGGTGGGGCTTGGACAGAGTCGACTCTCTGAGCTGCTGAAGTCCAATAAACTGGCTTTGGGACCCTGGACCAACTGGAATAAGAGACAGACAGAGTCTCCACCGTCCCTCAGCTGTTCTAGTACAGACACTGTGGAGAAAACACTTAGGCAGAAGATGGACATGTCTGCTCTTAGAGCTGTTTGTGAAGTTAAACAACCGTAAAAGCCAGTTTTCTCAATCCTGGAAGAACAGGGTGCTGCACACTAAACTGTACAGAAACGCTTCATACATTTAGTGCCTTTAATCCTTCACTCGTCAAAAACACACTTTCCAAAATGTTTTAGCTTCTTGTTGCTTATAAGGTAGATTTTGGTGAAGTAAATGTTTTACTCAGATTATCATTCTAATAAGAGCAATCGGATGACCATTTGAGATAATTCATTGTAGCTGTTTAATTTCTGCAGAAGGAATGTTTATTTTAAAAAGGAAACTGCAAAATGTTAGCTTACTTTATCACTGTCTCATGTAACATATTCAGCATTGTGTTTCTGCACTTTATTTGGCTTTTTCATTTAGCTTTTGACAATGACTTTAGGATCAGCTTAGATTTTATTAGTGGCTACCACTAATACTGTTTTTAACTGAAGGAAATGACCTATTAAAATTGAGTAAAAAAAAATAAATCAGTCTGATCTTTTTACACTGACTGTCCCAGCTTTTTCAATTCCAATGACAGACATACAATTGTTTATTAGTAGAAAGTGTTGTAAAAAACTTGTGAATTTCATGGGAGCCCACTTTGTCCATTAAAACTGATTGAAAATACTGCCCACCACACATTCAGGTATAAATATTCATGCAGCACATGAATAATAAGATTAAGAGCCAATCAAGAGTCTGCAGGTTTGAGGTTTAATAAGATCATTTCAAAAGAGGAATTTAGAGTGAACTGCAGCTTCAACTGTAGACTAGTTTTACCTAAAAGTTCAAGTTACGCTTCACACATGCTTAATTCTAATGCAGTTAGAGGAGGTGCAGAAAGCAGTGGGGTCTCCTTTGGAGGAGGTGCACAGGGAAGTGGAGTCACCACTGCAGGAGATGCACAAGGTAGTGTGGACAGTGCTGGAGGAGGTGCAGAGAGCAGAACTTACTTTACTTGGAGTTTGCTAAAGGTGCATTTATCCAGTCTAAGGTGAAGTAGATTAAAGATGGAGAACACAAGCAATTTTTTTGTTCGTGATAAAAAACAAATCTCTTGCCGCCTTAACCATAAACAGCAAGTAACATAAAGACCTCCAAAACACACACAATACCTATTTAAAGAACTCCAAATTATGTTCATTCATTTTATGTGAAGTTATATAGCTTTCAGTTTTCTCCTGAAGACTGTGATAGATTTTTGTATCACCTTGATAACATGATCTCTCATATTACAGATGAGCTTAAACCTGGATCAGAGGGTCTATCAGGAGAACCTTATTTACATTTTTGGGACATTTTAAAGCATGTTATCAGTAACTTATCTGAACAATGCCTAGGAAGAAATGAGCCCCACAATGAAGCAGACACCTCTACACTGCTAGAAATAAAGGTTCTGTGCAGGTAAATGTTTTGTTCCTCAAGGTACAAACAATGTAAATGTATCTTCACATGTACTACAGTGGTTTTAAGGTCCAATGGTGTACCATAAGTTAATTTTTTTCCTAGTGGAAAAGCATATATTTGTATCTTTTCATAAACTAATGGTTTAAAATAGAACAATAATAGAACACCCCCTCCTGGTGACGAGACGGTGCATGTCGAGTCAGTACAACTTCGAAATTATGAATTCAACGGATTATGGTAAAATTATGTTCCCTGATCGAAGGTACTGTGATGTACCCTTGAGGGTACCACCCCGGTGACAAATGGGGTACTGCCCCAGTGACAGCTTTGTACCTTTTGTATCATTTGATATCACACTGTTGATATTGTACCACCAGTTGGGCTCTGACTGACAGTTTCCATTGAAAAAATTAATTAATTTATTGAAAAATAAATCTTCATAGCTCCAAATCTCATTCTTAAAAAAGGCTGCATTAGGTAGTTAAAATACTTATGTGTTATTTAGTTCATCATGTACTTACGGGGAAGTGATGAAGGCCAGTCAGTTAAGCAAAATCCACACTCTACTGGACTCACTGGTGGCTGCAGGTAGCTGGTGGATGTCATCACTCAAAAGACATATACACAAAGACACATAAAAACGTATATAAAAAGCAAATAATTATAGAGTAAACTATTTATCATATTTATAAATAATAAAATATCATATAAAATACAAATAAAAGAAGAACAGAACACAAACTGATATAAACAATGTTATAATCTTGTATGGCCTTACCTCATATAACAAAACATTGATAAACATTGATAATAACCACACCAACACTTACACACTTCCAAACGTAGAATGTCATAGTGTGAAATGGGGATCATAGGGAAGGTAGGAGAGGGTGTAGATTTCTCAGTTTTAAAACACTAAACTGTGCAGTGCAGGGCTACTCTAGGACCAGGACTGAGAATCACTAGTGTATTTAATGATTAAAGTTTACAATATTAGTGTTGTTATCTTCCATACCTTGTATTTTAGTTTAGTTAATGAAGCCCTTTATTTTGAAAGCTGTACAGTTCTGTCTGTTCCTTTGTAAATCTTCTGAAAGATAAAAAGAGAATGTGAACAAAAGAAATTCACATGATTTATTTTCTGACTTGCTAAAAGAGAGTTCTAATGGTGTTTGCTAATGGTGTGATGGACACAGTTGAGTAGTTCAGGATCACAAAAACAAAAAAAAAATCTTCCCATAGATTTTGTTCCTGGCTTTTCTTATTACCTAGAGCAAACGTTGGCGGCTGGAACACAACTGTGAGGAGGATCTTACTTTCTCGACTTCAACTTCTTACTTCTGCTGATAGATACTAATTGTTACCTGAAAGGGAAGTAGGTATTTATCTGCCCTGGGCCTTCTGTGCATGGATGTGGCAGAGACAGACAAAAGAATGGCCATCAGATGACCAAGAAACCCTCTTGGATCCTGTAACAGTGGGAGAGATTACATGAGGGCAGTTTCATGTTGTTACTCTAGGCTTTTTCTGATCAGTACTAATACAGAACAAATACAGAAATATTTTTGACTGTGCTGTTTTAAAGAAAATCATCAAAAGATACAAAGTTCTCATTTCATGCTGGCATTCTGAGCTACTCCATACAGTACATGGTTGGAGCTCCAAGACAGGACACATACACTCCATTACAGAAACAATAATGTCTTACTGGAAAGATCTGAGGCCTCAGTCCTCCCAGAACTCCCAGCATCACCACCTCATAGATGGTATCCAAAAAGTTGAAGTGCTGAATCTGTATGAGAAAACGTAAGTGTCAAAGCACAGTCCATTGTGGTAAGCAGTGATTTTGATTTTGAATGAAGCCTGGCTAGTCAGACCCCAATCTCCACCAGCTATGCTTGAATGCCTTCACGATATGAAAGATTCTGAGCTACCACTAGCAAGCAGTCATACTCCCAAGATCATATTGATCCATTTGATACATGTGTTTTAGATCATGATCACTTTTTTACCCTTTCATTCAGAGTGGCCAGTCCACTAAGAATCCTCCTTTCAGCCATGGAGATGTAATCAGAGCACTGTGGCTCACTCAGAATGATCTACAGAATGGAAAAGACCAAGGGCTGTCAGAATTAGATGACGAGAGATATCACTACTTAAAAATAGTGATATGAAAATATACATAGCCCACTTACCGTGAAAGCTTGACGCAGGGCTGTCACTCTAAGAGGAAAGTTGATAATCCTCTTCAATCATCAAGCAGGCACTGTGGAAATAGAGAACATTTCAAATTTAAATGACTTAAAAAAAAAAAAAAATTGATACAAATGGTTAAAGCTGCCTTGGTACTTACTATAAAGCAGGCACCTCCCTAGCCTCGTCAGCACCTGCCTGTAAAGCCAAACACTCAACACTTATTACAGCCACACTGAACTGAAATTAGTTACAACCAATAACAGAAATTTGTTTAGATTTACCTCAGGTGCACTGTGCTCAGCAGGAGGTGGGCTGGTCTTAGGCCTGGAAACTTCCTGAGGCGGGGCAGATGTGCTGACCCGTGGAGGAGAAGGAGGAGGAGAACTGGACAGAGGAGGGCAATAAAGAGAAAGAGGAGAACTAGGCAGAGAAGAACAAGGAAGAGGAGGAGGAGAACTGGACAGAGGAAGAGAAGGAAGAAGAGGAGAATTGTGCAGAGGAGGAGAAAGAGGAGGAGTGGGCAAAGGAGGAGAAGGAGGAGAACTAGGCAGAGGAGAATGAGAACTGGGCAGATGAGGAGGAGAAGAACAGAGATGAGAACTGGGCAGCTGAAAAGATCCGGGATGAGCCTTCTTCACTGGATCTGAAAATAACAATTTAAAAGATTGAGACTTCATTTAAAGGTGGTACTTTTGATTCTGCAATCTTTTAAGCTTTCACTCTGTAATCTTGTGTATGTGTAAATATGTGCAATTTTGTCTATTTCTTTTGTGTCTACAATGTCTCATGTTCCGCTATGGTACTACTTCCCAATTTATTAATTTCCCACTAGAGATAAATAAAGTACAGATATCTACTGAATATAGCCTAATATAAGTGGCTGGCCATCTTTTAATTTCTAAAATATATAAATGAGGACTCGGTGAGTTAGTTAGCTATGTTTCTGACAAAAAAAGTGAAATGTCCCTGGCAAAATAATAAGCTAACATTACCTCATAGATAGCTAGATGTCCTACCGACTATTTAGCTGCATTAATTCCATTCCTAGCTGTTTTATGGCTAAGTAATTTGCTAGGCTTTTGGGACTGACATTTCCATCTCCAAAAAATGTTTAAATTCGAAATCTGATTAAATCAAAAAAAGCTGTTCAGCAAACTAGCTAGCTAGTGTCCTCAACATGAATAATTTGGCTAATTGACAAAGAAACTTTTCGAAGTTAACAAGCAATTAAACAAATCTAATATCGCAAATGTTATTAATGTTATTAATTAATTGTTTTCGCTAACTACCCTTAAGCGTGTCTCAGTACCCACCGTTGTCGGTCTCCGCTGTCTGTCTTCATCCTGAAGATGAAGTAAACGAGCAGCAAGCACCGCAACTTCAGTCCCAGAGCTGGAGAGGGGACACCTGCTTAATAATCCTGAAAGAGAAGCGCATGTGGAGCTCAAAAGATCACAGCTTATCACCAGAGGTGTCGGTTAATGACTGAAAATCAGTGTTCTTTTTCCACCGTTTGCAACCTAGAAGGATAAGAGGTTTAGAAAAAATGTGTGTGTGTGTATATTATAGGTTAATATTTTGTTTTGCTTCTCTGTCCTCTGGATAAATATAATAAATAATAATAATAATAAATAATAAATGCATACATGCATACATACAT